TTATTTTAAATCTCTATTGGTAGTGTCGCAGTAATTAAGAGATCGGCTTTGAACTCCGGGTCGTGCCAGGTTTAAATCTTCTCAGGGGATGTATTTTGACTTGACCGCAAATTCCTTCGAGCAAGAAATGAACTCCACGGTGTTTGTGCTCATCCAGCTATGAAGATCGCAGTAAGTCGGTGATGTGCGACTAATGCAGCGGAGAGCACCGTATTCTGTCTGCTCACACCAAAGTGGACTAGGTATGAGGACAGCCTGACCGATGCGAGCACTCGTTATGGCGACTATATTTGGCATTGTCCCGCCTGATAGCTGATTATACAGTGTGATAATCAGCACGACGCGTAGTCGTGACTTTTTAAAATGTTATTCAAAGAGAACAGCGCGAAACAGTTTTATTATAGCGTGGCATTATTAAGGTGTGTCTGATGGTTGAATGATATGAGATTTTTGTCCGGATCTCATCGACGTATTTCAAAATAAAAATTCTGGATGTGCGATTGTTGTTGGCATTGTCTGCTTCAGCGATTCATTTCAGCCAAGAGACCAATGCCATATTGAATAGGACCACTTTTGTGCTATTGTTTAGATTTACCGCCAGCGCATGATCAAAAGTGATCCATCATCATGTTCTAAGGTGCATTTTAAACTGTTAATAAGATTCTGATTATTGCAATACTATGGCATTAGCTGAAGATGACTATCATTAACATAAAAAAATAAACATGTCGTCGATGTGCTGTATTTAAAATGCAGGTTTGAATGCAATATGGATAGAGAATTAAAACATTGAGCTGCAAAGCGAGACAGTTCTCTTGATGCATGGATTCGAAAACCCAAACGTATTCCTAAGCCGACAGTCGATGCGTTTGAATAGTGAATAAATCAAAAGCTTTGTCAGGTCATCGTCTGATACATTTTAGTATAGTACCTGTCCAGTACATATCAGTATAAGCTAATAATATTCAGAGAGTTTGCTGTTACCTTGCTGTGGTTGTGTCGCGAAATCTGCTGGTCAAAGAAAGTGTGCGATATCTTATCAGATTTTAGCATGCAGCAGAATTTCACCGAAAGATTTCGATGCTGGACATCGGTCAGTTGCTAGACGGTTTCGTCGAGGCGAACCAGACGGGAATCGACAAGCCTCGTAAGTGGTCACTACCTTTCTTCCCCGTGATTGTTCTTCATCCGGTTAATAAGGCTTCTGTTGTGTTTTTAGCCGTCATGGAATTCGAGGAACCAGAAACAACTGCGTTCGTCGCCGTTAATTCATGTGTTGAGCCCAGTGTTTCCGTGATCGATGCAGACACGATCGAAAATTCTTCTTCAGTCGCCAACGGAGGCGGTGTTGGCGAAGGTAGCGCAACTGGACGCCGTTTGGCCAGCCTCTTTTTAATGCCTGTAAATGATTCTCGAAGTAAAGCCATTCGCAATAGCGTAACTTCATCTTCTTCATCCGCCTCAGCTTCTCCCTCTCAACCTGCTGGTATATCTAGTTTTTACCAAGTGTTTACTGCATGCTTCGTTTTCCTTTGTGTGCTCGCTTTTTAGCTGCCAATGGAACGTCTTACGTTTGTCTTTGTTTAATAAAACCAAAAGCTAACTGGGAAATACGTTAATTACAGTTGGTTCCTGAATATTCTGGTTATCTTAACGATCCATGGTTTAACTAACAACTTCTTTCTGTTATGCAAACTTCCTGTGTCAAACACAATTCTCCAGGTCGATATTTCAAATACAATATTATTACATCGTCCTAGTAATCTGTTGCCTTGAATTAAGAGTCAATTAAAGAAGAGAAATAGCCGTTTTTCTCACAGGTTATAAATCAATTTCTCTCCATTTTAATTTATATCTGTTTGTATTCGTTCAGAGTTTACGCGCTCACTGTCAGATGTTAAATTCAATGATGTTACTTCGAATGGACAACTAGAACCGCTGCTTTAGCAGAAACTGACCCACTTTATATCGAATTGCAGTGCTCTGTTGAAAAATCCGGTATCCTTGCTGTTGATCATACACATGATCAATATGACTGCCATAAGCCTTTATAGATCCACTGCTGGATGAAGGTCTCACCAAGACGTTTTCACCAGCTTCTGTTACATGCAATTTTTATCCAGCGAAATTCTTCTGCTCGTCACAGGATGTGGAGATCTTCCTAGAGACCGTTTGCACTGTCTTGGGACCCAGTCTGACGTCTCTCTAACCCAGCAGCGGTCTCTCCTTCTGACAGAGTTCCCAGCTCATTGCCACTTTAACTTTTTCTTAGCCAGTGGCATCGCGGGCTCTTGTTTGTACTCTTTCCCATTCAATCTTCGTCCTATCTTGTTTTTCCAACCTACATCTTTCTGTCCTACATTGTGCAGTCTACTTTTGAGAATTGCTTTCAGGCGTGTTAGCAGTGGGACCACAGTGATAGAAAATTTTCCGTTTCAAGCACAAAGGCGGTTGCCCGGGTAGGAATATTTTCACTCCTTCGAAAGTACTTCATGCCATTTTTATTTTTCTGTTGATTTCACATAGTTGAAGAGACGGACTGTTCCAGATATGCATCATTTTATATCCTTTCAAGCCTGTATCCGTTTCCTTGAACAGTTCGTAGGCTCACGTATTTGTCAAATATGATTTGAGTTTTATTCAGGTTCATTTTCATTTTGGCTTTGGTGCTCTCGTCGTTTAGCGTCTGGATGTTTCTTGGAAAAGTTCTGGTAACCATAAGAGAATCAGAATATCATCTGGAAGCCGCAGGTGGCTTACCTACTGCTCATTTATCTTCATTCCTTAATTGTCCTAAAGGAATCTCTTGAAAACTTTTTTTTATGACTGCCGCAAATACCTTCGGAGACATGGCATCACTCTGTTAAACGTTCTTTAAAATTTTAAACTTTATAATGCTTTCGTAAAGCTTCACGTTGCAGTTGCATCCGTGTAAACCATGGTTTTGCGGTATCTGAATTTTTTCTCGATTCCTTTGACTTTTTAAGGAATTCAGTACAGAATAGAGGTGGACTGAGATAGAAGCTTTTTTTAAATCGAAGAATCTCATGCAGAGAGGAAGCTGATTTTCGATGTTTCTCTGAATTACTTGTTATACCACCTGAAAATGATCCGTCGTACGAGAAATTCACTTCTGAACTTTGCTTGCTTCTTTGGCTGTGCAGCTTCCAGATTTTCTGAAATCTGTTTGTGAGTACCTTCGTAAAGATTCAAAAAGTGATTTGTGACAAACTGATCAGCCCGTAGTTTTCCTCATTTATTGTGTCCCGTTTTGTGGAGTAAAATCTCCGATGCGGTAGTCCAGTGGTCTGTTATTTTCAGTTCTTTAAGACAGCCTGAAAAAAGTTTCCGAAATATTTTGGTAGATGCTTCACCTCCTGATTCCCCGAGTTCCACTAGTTGCACTTCCTTTGGCATATCTTGAATTTCGTCATCGTCATTTGTCTCTTCAAGCTATTTATCATCACCAGGTGCTTTGCTGTCTTCATTCTTTTGCAGTTTTTTATAGAAATATTTCGCTCTCGTTAGAATCTCTTTGAGATCTTGAAATTTGCTTCTCTCAACCGCCAGTCTTTGATTTAATGTTTTGCCTTTCAGTTATTTCCAGTAGCTTCCTTTGCCAATCTGCAGCTGAATGTTCAACGTTTATCTTTTTTCGTTTCTTTAAAGTTTTACAAAATTCCAATGATACAATCTTTGATTTCAGATCTGTTACTGCTGTCATTTCTCTTTGTTTGTTCATGAGTTTTTTCGTTTATTTTGTCATTTTTTGTTTATCTTCGCTGTACTTGTTTCGGAGACTCTCTCTACGGTTTTTCTATCAGTATCCCGATATTTTGCGTTGATGTCCACTTGTTTCTGATCTCCTGCTTCTTCTTCTTATTTCATTTCGTGTCGAATCGGTGATTTAATTTGAATTGGAATAGCGGGAGGTTGTTCTTTATTGTTTCTACTTCGAGTATTTTGTGTTTAATGCTTATGCAAAGATCATTGTGATTAAAATATCAAAAACAGGAGACATTTTAACGTTGAGGTCCTCCGCAAGTATCTACTACCAGGCTACAGCATCAAATCCCATCGATCGGCTTAGTCCTGAAATTCTATCGAAACTCCAGTAGCCATGGTTGATCAAACTTATTTTTTAAAGCGGATATCTCTAGGAGAACTCTGACTACAAATCCGGGTAGATGTAATGGCAGCCGTTGATTTTATCTTAATCCCAGATATAGCATGAAAATATCTTTTCGCCATACCCTTTACCCAGGCAGGTGAACAGGATGTGACAGTTCATCGATTCACTGACAAAGATGCTGTTGCATCAGGGTCTGCAGTGTTATCTTCTGACTTCAGTTGTTTTGTCCTAGCAGTAGTTGATGTATGATCAACACTTAGAAGCCACCTCATGCTTGTCTCTCTGTACATTGCTCCGTATTTCAGTAGGCGTTTTGTTTTACTTAATTAAGCATACAGTGCCAGGTCTCTAAGGCGAATTTCATCCTGCTTATGTGATGATCTTCCCTAAGAGAATAAAACAGTTCTTATCACCTAACTGAGCATGTCGATCGAACTTCCTCACTTTCTTCTTACAAAGTTGTGGTTATTTAGGAACGGTGCGAATTTTCTTCTTTTTCTTGAAGGCTAGTTATTCGCCGCTGAAGACATTCAACGATACCTCGCTGGATTCACGCTTTCTATTCGGCCGGGGGCATATTTTGTCCATTTTAGTTGTTCAAAACCTGCTTTACTTTTATAAAAGTTTGGTTGCATGTCTATAAATTGCCCCCTAAATTGAAGGGGGATTCAGTCATCAGAACAGCGTTAACTCTTGAGTGTGTCTGAACCTGTCGTGCGTACCTACGTGAATGACAGTGCAGAAATGTGCATTCCTTTCCGGGCCCATAGTTTTTGTATTGTGTGCACTAACGCCTTTTTGAACGTGCATCCTCTTGTTGTCAGATAAATAATTAACGATTTAATTGCCGTATTACGTAATAATGACTAGACCCCAATTGCAGCTGGTTCGACGACGTTTCCCTCATCCTTGTCGCATTTCAAACTGCCTCAAACGGTTTCCAAAGGAAAGCTGACACTCTGGCTGCCTGGACGGAAAGCGGGACGCAGAAACGGTCCCGTTAAAGACACTGCCAGCGAAGGATCAGGTTCTGTGGACAGTTGCGAAAAATGTGAAAATGCTCCAACCAGTTAATGACCAAAACGCCAGTCGTTACAGATGTTGAATTGACTAACGGTGTTTGTTTGTAGTCGATCTTGGTGTGCAGGGCGTGCAGGTTTCTCGGCAGGATGATGTTCCTTCCAAACCCGCTGTTCAATCTCAACTGCCTCCCAATGATCAGGACGCTATGCCTAGAAGGATTTTGTCTATGGGTAAATATTGTGGTTTTCTTTTGTCTGAGGTTAGAAAATGGATTATATATTTTGTATACTGTGCATTTCACTGCACATTATTATGATTCCGCTTTTCTGCTTGCGCGATACAGGCGAAAATATTGGTTTTTATACGTTATAGTGTGTTTGTAAACGCATGACTTCTCTAAGACCAGATGTATGACTGTATCATTTAGCTATTGGTGTAGCAAATGTCGTTCAATGGAATGCACGATTTGATTGCTTGATATCCGCAAGATGGTCAGTAGGGTCATATGGATTTGAGCCTTTTTCACTGTTTTCGATCAGCAGCTGCTACTAAGAGGATCTGATGAGCTAACCTTAATCTTTGCATATGTCATATCTGCTATCAATCTCCTACACTTATCGCTTAGTAGCACTAACAAGACCTCTTGTAATTTCATAGTACCTTATTGGTAAGCTGGGTATTGCTATGACCTTTGTAATCAAGCGAGGTTCTCAAATGTCACTGAGCGGTGGTCGGTTTAAATGACCGATTAGCTTCCTGTCGTTCTCCTGCTTTCGTCCTTGTTGTTCTTCTTTCTTTGATGTTGCTCTGCCATCGATTTCGTTTTTTGCTTTAGTTTCTAACTGTCCATGTGTGCTATTGTATGCTCTCAACTTGAATAACTTTTTCTTTGATTCCTTTCGCCGTTCCCAGTTTTGCTATTGTTGTGTAGTTGTGTATTTGACAAAGACCGCCGTGATTTTAGTGCCGTTTATTTTCGTAATGTTATGAAGGACGATATTGTGACAAAGGCAGTATTAGTTTCTTGATGTAATGATTAACCTGGTAACGCGTTTGGTTGCAAACTATTAGTTTTTTTTCGTTTCCACCCAAATACGAGAATAGCAGTCTCCTGTCACTTGTCCGGATTCACTCGGATTGCTCGTACAGTGTCTTTCTTCAAGTAGCGTCAGCGAGCGTTTAATCAGGATGCACTGCAAGCACAAAAATGCCATCGAGCCATCGC